GCTCCTAAAAAATTCTGAACCGATTTCAACGAGATTGCCAGAGATTGATTTATATTAACTACAGTTCATTGTACAGAACAGTGTGGCAATCGACAATCCCTGGGTCTTTAGTGCACAATTTACATAAAATCGGAAGAAAGAATATATAGAAGCTGTATCAAAATCTGAAGCGATTCCCAACTTAGCAAACATCATTCTAAATGGGAACTTTGGTCCCCATTTACATTAAAAAGGAAGAGAATATATATGGGAGCTATATCTAAATCTGAACCGATTTTCAGGTTCATTACGCCGAGCCAAATTTCGTGCAAATATAGGGACCTTGGTGCACCATTTACCCTAAATCGGACGAAAATATATATGGGAGCTATATCTAAATCTGAACCGATTTTTCCCAATTGCCTCGAAAAAATATTCTTTAAAAAATCCACGCCTCGAAAAAATATTCTTTAAAAAATCCACGCCTCGAAAAAATATTCTTTAAAAAATCCACGCCTCGAAAAAATATTCTTTAAAAAATCCACGCCTCGAAAAAATATTCTTTAAAAAATCCACGCCTCGAAAAAATATTCTTTAAAAAATCCACGCCTCGAAAAAATATTCTTTAAAAAATCCACGCCTCGAAAAAATATTCTTTAAAAAATCCACGCCTCGAAAAAATATTCTTTAAAAAATCCACGCCTCGAAAAAATATTCTTTAAAAAATCCACGCCTCGAAAAAATATTATTTAAAAAATCCATTCTTTAAAAAATCCACGCCTCGAAAAAATATTCTTTAAAAAATCCACGCCTCGAAAAAATATTCTTTAAAAAATCCACGCCTGTTGTTAGGAAAGACCTCGAAAAAATATTCTTCTCGAAAAAATATTCTTTAAAAAATCCACGCCTGTTGTTAGGAAAGACCCTTTAAAAAATCCACGCCTCGAAAAAATATTCTTTAAAAAATCCACGCCTCGAAAAAATATTCTTTAAAAAATCCACGCCTCGAAAAAATATTCTTTAAAAAATCCACGCCTCGAAAAAATATTCTTTAAAAAATCCACGCCTCGAAAAAATATTCTTTAAAAAATCCACGCCTCGAAAAAATATTCTTTAAAAAATCCACGCCTCGAAAAAATATTCTTTAAAAAATCCACGCCTCGAAAAAATATTCTTTAAAAAATCCACGCCTCGAAAAAATATTCTTTAAAAAATCCACGCCTCGAAAAAATATTCTTTAAAAAATCCACGCCTCGAAAAAATATTCTTTAAAAAATCCACGCCTCGAAAAAATATTCTTTAAAAAATCCACGCCTCGAAAAAATATTCTTTAAAAAATCCACGCCTCGAAAAAATATTCTTTAAAAAATCCACGCCTCGAAAAAATATTCTTTAAAAAATCCACGCCTCGAAAAAATATTCTTTAAAAAATCCACGCCTCGAAAAAATATTCTTTAAAAAATCCACGCCTCGAAAAAATATTCTTTAAAAAATCCACGCCTCGAAAAAATATTCTTTAAAAAATCCACGCCTCGAAAAAATATTCTTTAAAAAATCCACGCCTCGGAAAAATATTATTTAAAAAATCCACGCCTCGAAAAAATATTCTTTAAAAAATCCACGCCTCGAAAAAATATTCTTTAAAAAATCCACGCCTCGAAAAAATATTCTTTAAAAAATCCACGCCTCGAAAAAATATTCTTTAAAAAATCCACGCCTCGAAAAAATATTCTTTAAAAAATCCACGCCTCGAAAAAATATTCTTTAAAAAATCCACGCCTCGAAAAAATATTCTTTAAAAAATCCACGCCTCGAAAAAATATTCTTTAAAAAATCCACGCCTCGAAAAAATATTCTTTAAAAAATCCACGCCTCGAAAAAATATTCTTTAAAAAATCCACGCCTCGAAAAAATATTCTTTAAAAAATCCACGCCTCGAAAAAATATTCTTTAAAAAATCCACGCCTCGAAAAAATATTCTTTAAAAAATCCACGCCTCGAAAAAATATTCTTTAAAAAATCCACGCCTCGAAAAAATATTCTTTAAAAAATCCACGCCTCGAAAAAATATTCTTTAAAAAATCCACGCCTCGAAAAAATATTTTTTTTAGAAATCCACGCCTCGAAAAAAATTTTTTTTTTAGAAATCCACGCTTCGAAAAAATATTTTTTTTAGAAATCCACGCCTCGAAAAAATATTTTTTAAAAAATCCACGCCTCGAAAAAATATTCTTTAAAAAATCCACGCCTCGAAAAAATATTCTTTAAAAAATCCACGCCTCGAAAAAATATTCTTTAAAAAATCCACGCCTCGAAAAAATATTCTTTAAAAAATCCACGCCTCGAAAAAATATTCTTTAAAAAATCCACGCCTCGAAAAAATATTCTTTAAAAAATCCACGCCTCGAAAAAATATTCTTTAAAAAATCCACGCCTCGAAAAAATATTCTTTAAAAAATCCACGCCTCGAAAAAATATTCTTTAAAAAATCCACGCCTCGAAAAAATATTCTTTAAAAAATCCACGCCTCGAAAAAATATTCTTTAAAAAATCCACGCCTCGAAAAAATATTCTTTAAAAAATCCACGCCTCGAAAAAATATTCTTTAAAAAATCCACGCCTCGAAAAAATATTCTTTAAAAAATCCACGCCTCGAAAAAATATTCTTTAAAAAATCCACGCCTCGAAAAAATATTCTTTAAAAAATCCACGCCTCGAAAAAATATTCTTTAAAAAATCCACGCCTCGAAAAAATATTCTTTAAAAAATCCACGCCTCGAAAAAATATTCTTTAAAAAATCCACGCCTCGAAAAAATATTCTTTAAAAAATCCACGCCTCGAAAAAATATTCTTTAAAAAATCCACGCCTCGAAAAAATATTCTTTAAAAAATCCACGCCTTTAAAAAATATTTTTAAAAAATCCACGCCTCGAAAAAATATTCTTTAAAAAATCCACGCCTCGAAAAAATATTCTTTAAAAAATCCACGCCTCGAAAAAATATTCTTTAAAAAATCCACGCCTCGAAAAATATTCTTTAAAAAATCCACGCCTCGAAAAAATATTCTTTAAAAAATCCACGCCTCGAAAAAATATTCTTTAAAAAATCCACGCCTCGAAAAAATATTCTTTAAAAAATCCACGCCTCGAAAAAATATTCTTTAAAAAATCCACGCCTCGAAAAAATATTCTTTAAAAAATCCACGCCTTTCTAAGGACTTGAAAAAATATTCTATAAAAAAACACTTCTTTCTAAGGACTTGAAGGAATATTCTTTAAAAAATCCACGCCTCTGTAAGGCCTGGGAAAAATATTCTGAGGACTTGAATAAGGCCTGTAAGGCCTCGAAAAAATATTCAAAGGACTTGAAAAAATAATCTTTAAAAAATCCTCGCCTCTACAAGGCATAAAAAAGTATTCTTTAAAAAAATTCATGTCTCTTCGGGGCCTGGAAAAAATATTCATTAACAAATCCACGTCTCTATGAGGCCTGGAAAAAATATTCTTTAAAAAATCCACTCCTTTCTGTGGTCTTGGAAAAAAATATTCTTTAAAAAATCCACGCCTCTATAAGGCCTGGAAAAATTATTCTTTAAAAATCCACGCCTCAGATGGAGCTCTGAAATTTTTTTTTTTTTTTTTTTTTTTTAAATCCACTCCTCATAAGGCTTTGAAAAAATATTTTTTAAAAAATCCACGCCTCATAAGACTTTGAAAAATATTTTTTTAAAAATCCATGCCTCATAAGGATTTGAAAAATATGTTTTTAAAAAATCCACGCCTCTGGAAAAAATTTTCTTTAAAAATTCCACGACTCTAATATTCTTAAAGGAATCCAAGCCTTTATTGGCCTTTAATATAATTTCTCTCAAGGCCAGTCACTGTAATGTCCACTTGTGTGGGTGGGTTGGTATTTTTTGGTATAATATTACTAATTACTGTGGCCAATTCATCAAACAACCAAAGAAGAGACTTTGCAAATTCCTTTTGTAATACTCAACAAATTACCAAAGAGACATACTGGTGAGAGAAAATGAATAGTGACATTAACTGTTGTTGTGAAGTTATAAAAGAGAACAACCGTTGAAGAGAGCGGAAATCAAACTCTTTGCAACGGCATGTTATCTCACTGGACTCCCAATGGCAATGTTATGCCATTCCATCTGTGTATATGTGAGTGTGTTCGTGTGTGCCTGTTCGTGTGCTGGCCTTTACATATCCGTGTGATGGAGCCAAACATTCACAACAAAACGGATAACTTTGGCCCCGCAAACGAATCATTACAAATGCAGTTGCACACGGAGACGGTTGGTTGTCGGCTCTCGCATAGAAAACGAAACGAAACGTGTGGCATCACGACCACAAAGAACAACAACAACAAAGGCAGGAACGGTTAACGGCAATTTTTAATGGGAAAAACTGCAATGCAAATATTGAAAGGCAACAAAATGTAACATTAATAAAAGAAAAACACCAACAACAACAAAACGATGATGATGATGCCGATGAAAAGAAATAAAAACGTAACAGTCAAATTTGTGTGTTTCCCCCAAAAGGAAAGGAAATAAAAATCGGAATTAAAAACAAAAACATTTCAATCAACGACAATAAAACCAAAAAATATAAATAAATATAAATAAGTTACGATAAATATTTTTAAGTGAAAGAAAAAAATAAAAAACGGAATTTAATGCATTTATTTCTATAAAAAAAAAACAAAATAATTACAAACAAAAATAAAAAAAGCAATTTAACATATCAAACCCAAAAAAAAATTATTTAAAAAATAAATAAAACAACACGTAACGAAAATTTAAATTAATTTTTAATTTATATTAAAAAATTAAAACAAAAAAACGAATCAAATTCAAAATTATTTCCTTTTAAAAATAAATACAATTACAACAAGTGTTCAACGCAAACAGAAAAAAGTGAAACGTGAGCGCAACACCATCTCTCTACAATTTAGCATCGAATCTCAAACAAGCAAGCAACTAGTCATTCATTCAGTCAGTCAGTCCAACATCCAAACAGCCAGCCAGCCACCATGAATTCCAAAGTGGGCTCGTTAGAGGAAAAAGTCAAACTGCCGCCTACGGAAACAATTAGTCGCTGCTATCAGCCGCAGGGCAATCGTAAGGTCATTCGCATCTTAACGGTTGCCGTCTATGTGCTGTGCGTTTCATTGGCTGCCATTATGCTGTCGCTCTATTATATATTCATATGGGATCCGACGATACGCCCATTTGTGACCAAAGGCAATAATTGTGGTAAGATTGTGCCAAAGACACAAAAATACCAAAAACAACAACAATATGACAAATGAAAAATGACAATTTTTTTGTAGTAATAACCAAATAAATTAGTGATCATCAGTGTGGCACGAGCCAAAAATTACTAAACCCCAACAAAAAAGGGGGGAAAGAAAAAAACTGTGCCACAGAATGACATATGGTCAACGGGGGTAAATTGGAAATGGGCTATAATGAATTTTGTATACCCTACATGAATGATATTCTTATGGAAAGAAAAAACCCACAAAGAATAGTTTTTAGGTCCTTCTAGAGGCGTGGATTTTTAAAAGATTTTTTTTTGAAGTCCTTAGAAGGGCGTGGATTTTTTAAAGATTATTTTTTGAGGTCCTTCTAGAGGCGTAGATTTTTTAAAGATTATTTTTTGAGGTCCTTCTAGAGGCGTAGATTTTTTAAAGATTATTTTTTGAGGTCCTTCTAGAGGCGTAGATTTTTTAAAGATTATTTTTTGAGGTCCTTCTAGAGGCGTAGATTTTTTAAAGAATATTTTTTGAGGTCCTTCTAGAGGCGTAGATTTTTTAAAGAATATTTTTTGAGGTCCTTCTAGAGGCGTAGATTTTTTAAAGAATATTTTTTGAGGTCCTTCTAGAGGCGTAGATTTTTTAAAGAATATTTTTTGAGGTCCTTCTAGAGGCGTAGATTTTTTAAAGAAGTCCTTACAAAGCCGTGGATTTTTTAAAGAATATTTTTAGGTCCTTCTAAAGGCGTTGGTTTTTTAAAGAAGTCCTTACAAAGGCCTAGATTGGATTTTTTAAAGAAGTCCTTACAATAGCGTGGTTTTTTAAAGAGTATTTTTTGGGGTCCTTCTAGAGGCTTGGATTTTTAAAAACGTCTTTACAAAGGCGTGGATTTTTAAAGACGTCTTTACAAAGGCGTGGATTTTTTAAGGAATATTTTTAGGTCCTTCTAAAGGCGTTGATTTGTTAAAGAAGTTCTTACAAAGGCCTGGATTGGATTTTTTAAAGAATATTTTTTGAGGTCCTTAGAAAGGCGTGGATTTTTAAAGAATATTTTGTGAGGTCCTTCTAGAGGCGTGAATTTTTTAAAGAATATTTTTTGAGGTCCTTCTAGAGGCGTGAATTTTTTAAAGAATATTTTTTGAGGTCCTTCTAGAGGCGTGGATTTTTTTAATGAATATTTTTTGAGGTCCTTCTAGAGCCGCGGATGTTTTACAGAATATTTTTCGAGGTCCTTCTAGAGGCGTGGATTTTTAAAGAATATTTTTTGAGGTCCTTCTAGAGGCGCGGATTTTAAAAAAAAAAATATTTTTTGAGGTCCTTCTAGAGCCGCGGATGTTTTACAGAATATTTTTCGAGGGCCTTCTAGAGGCGCGGATGTTTTACTGAATATTTTTGAGGTCTCTAGAAGGAAATTTTTTTTTCGCGGAAATTTTTCAAGTCTATGGAAAGGCGTGGATTTTTAAAATAATAGTTTTCATGGACTATTTTTATAAGGACGTGAACAAGGCGTAAAAAAAATATTTTTCATGGACTATTTTTATAAGGACCAGTAACAAGGTGTAGATTTTTTAAAAAATATTCGACATTTTTTATTTTTCAAAAATTTAATTTTTTGATTGTTTTGATGTTTTTACAATAACAAAAGAAAATTTGTTTAAGAATGTTGTTAAAAGTTACAGAATAGGCCTATTTTTTTTAAGATTTTTTTATCGCCGTGGATTTTTTTTAAGATTTTTTATGGACTATTTTTATAAGGACCAGAACAAGGCGTAGATTTAAAAAAAAAAAATATTTTTTCATGTACTATTTTTATAAGGACCAGAACAAGGCGTAGATTTTTAAAAAAAAAATATTTTTTCATGGACTATTTTTATAAGGACCAGAACAAGGCGAAGATTTGTTTAAGAATATTTTATTAGAATCAGAACAAGCCGTGGATTTTTTAAAGAACATTTTTCACGTCCATAGATGGTCGTGGATTTTTGAATATTTTAGAAAATTATTCTGCTCTTGAAAAAGCTTTTCGTCTTTCATGTTAGAAGGATCTTCGGTATGAAAGAGGTTCTCAAGGATATTTCCTGTCTTTAGCCGATCTCTTGAAATATTTCGTTTTCTACTGAGCTCTGGACGACATTCTGAGGGGACTGTCATAAAAGAACTTCTATAAATTTATATTTTTTTATGGAAGACCCATTATTCAGGATGTCTATGTCTAGAAGTTATTTTTGATGTCCATCGGAGTGTGGGATGGCGTTCTCTATATAAAATATGTTTTCAATTTTTTATATAGAGAACTCCGATGGACAATAAATTTATAGAAGTTCTTTGTGACTCCTTTGTGGAGGAGGTGCCAAAGTGTCCAATTTCTGACTAATGATGACCCTTCATATGACATCTATAATTTGTTTTTCTTGAGGAGCTAACAGAGGGAGTGTGACGTGAAGCCATAAGCCTGAGGGTATAAAAATCCCCGAAATGTTCTTATGCTTCTGGTAAGCCTTTTGACTTTAGAAAACTATCAAAAAAGAATTTTGTGTGATAGATATTTTCAATATGGTATCTATCCTTAGGTAATTTTTTTTTTCTCCCTAAGAGACTTTCAGATAGGACTTTTATCCGTAGCAGAACTTCTGAATGGTACTCTACTATCATAAGACCTATTAAAATCTGTATTTGCTTGTAGAAAATAACTTCAAAGTTATTTGGGGCATGAAAAGGATTTTTCTCTTTAGAAGACTAGCCTATATATCTTCTGTCCACAAGAGACTTTCTTATATGATTTTTTTCTATAGAAAACATTCTGAGAGGTCTATTGCCACTACACAACCTTGTATAAACACTGATGTGTATAGAAATGTTCTCTCAAGATCTTCCTGCTATAGAGCTCTCCTTGGACATTTGCTTGCCTATTAAAGACCTCTTGAAAGGTCTAAAGAGGTCCCCTTTCTTTAGATAACCCTTTCAGATGCCCTCCTATTTTTTCTAGTTCCTATGAAACATCTTTAGCCTTGTGAGGCTCTCTTTCAAAGAGGATTTATATTCATAGCAGAAGTTTCGAATGGAACTTTACTAAAATAAGACCCATTAAGAGGCTATATTTGTTTAAAGAAAATATTTTCAAAGTCATTTGGAAGATAAGAAGCATTTATCTCTTTCGAAGACTCCCCTATATTAGAGATCTGAGATGTATTTTCTTCTAAAGAATTCCATTAACACATCCCGCAGCATATCCTCTACCACACAATCGTGTAGGGTACTATGGAGTAACCAAAAATGGAAGGAGCTTCCAAAGAGGGGGCTCATCACTATCATCATCACCACCACCAAACAACTTAACGAAGAATTCATGGCCTAAAAATAATTTTTGCCAGAAATTCCATAACTAAACCAAAATAAGAGAGAACATCTGCAATCAATTATGGTTCTGACCAACAGCAACAACAACAGCAAAAACCTACAGACAAACATTAAAAAACCCTCAACGAATGGGAAGGGTTCCCAATGAGTTTAACTACTCCTGGGGCTTTTCCTCTCTCTACCTCCCTCTCTCCACAAGATAAATGAAATAATGAAATTAAAAGTTGTTGTTGTTGGTGGTTTTGCTCTTTGCTTTATGGCAATGGATGGTTGTTGTTGCTGTTGCCATAGTGTTGTTATATATAGATAACAATTAATTGTAACACTCTCAAACACACACACACACACCAACACACTCATTCACAACTTGCTGCCACACATGCACATGGCTGTTCCACAGACAGACTGTTTGATGTATGTGGCAACTTTAATGTCAAACGGATATATGCATGATGTTAATGTATGAGTGGGTGTCAGCCCGGTAGTCAGTCAGACAGTTGTGCATATGTTTCATGGTGTGTGTGTGAGAGTGTGCATAATTTAAAACACTTTTGGTCTAAACGACTACTAACACATTACTATCACTACAATATGCATACATACACATTCACACACGTACTTTCACTGAGTTGCAGAACAAGAGCAGCAGCATATGTATCACACTAAAGTTTAGACGCAGCCAGTCAGCCAAACATTCAACCAGCCAGCCAGTCAGCTAACAGAAGAAACAAAAAACTGTTGCCTACATTAAGGCTTCAGTCAGTCAACAACGGCATGCCAACGTTTGGCGGCATATTTTGCATGATTTTTTCTGGTGTTTTTTGCTTGTTGTTGCTACAAAATGTTTTGTGGCAGGAGGAGAACAAATTAAATTAAAGTTCCCTTTTTTTGTTGGTGTTCGTGCCACTGCTAATGTGTTGTTGTTGTTGCTGTTTGTTCTTTGATAAATTCATGTGGGATTGTTTTAACATAGACCACAATTTAGAAAGAGTTATCAGTTGTGGGTTTTTGTTGTTGGTGTTGTTGCTGCTGTCTTTTTGTTGTAGTTGTTGTTACAAACTTAATTTACTTGTGAATAGACAACAGTATCTAAGTGTAATTAAATCTACTAAATGGATTTAAAATTGAATAAGAACACAGTAGATAGAATAAACGATATACATATGTGTATGTAGACACACATACATTTGTGCATGCATACATATGTACATATGCTACAATTACATTTAATATGCAAGGAGGCAAAGGTTTGACTTCTGCATGAAGTTGGAAGATATTCAAGATGTGAGAGCCAAAGGAGCCAAAGAAGAAATATTTTCATGCAATAATTTACGCTAAAATATATTCTTTAAAAATTCACACTTTACGAAGTCTTTGAAAAAGTGTTTAAAATGTTCTTTAAAAAGCCATACCTTTGAAAAAACTTTAAAAAATCTACGCTTTTGAAAAAAAATCTTGTATGGGTCCTCAAAAACATCACGACGATTTCAAAGAAAAGAGTTTTCTTTTAAAAATCTACGCCTACATTAGTCCTTACAAAACTGTTTCTTAAAAAAATCCGATGCTCAAAAAATATTCTTTAAAAAACACCCGCCTCTCTAAATACTTTAGAAAATATTTTTTTAAAGCCCACACCTCTCT